GCAAACTTTCAGAGGGCCAGATTGAATTCCACTAGCTTTGTGGTTTTTTTTTAAAAATTGAAACATAATTGATTGTACATATCTGTGAGGTACAGTGCTGAATATCAATACCTGGAATTCCACTAGCTTTGAAGATAGAAAAATTTATCAAGAAAAATCAACTTGAGGGGTTCTGGTCAAGATGGCGGAATAGAAAAAATTGAAACATAATTGATTGTACATATCTGTGAGGTACAGTGCTGAATATCAATACCTGGAATTCCACTAGCTTTGAAGATAGAAAAATTTATCAAGAAAAATCAACTTGAGGGGTTCTGGTCAAGATGGCGGAATAGACGGTTCCCAGCGTCACTCTCTCACACATCAACCAATTTACAACTATAAAAATGTTTAACATTGTTGTGAGGCACCCTCCCACAAGAAATGCACTTACGAACCACGCCACTCATGCAGAAAAGGGCAGTTTATTCATTCCAGCCAGCCACTATCTGTCTCCCAAGGAATAGACGGTTCCCAGCGTCACTCTCTCACACATCAACCAATTTACAACTATAAAAATGTAACATTGTTGTGAGGCACCCTCCCACAAGAAATGCACTTACGAACCACGCCACTCGTGCAGAAAAGGGCAGTTTATTCATTCCAGCCAGCCACTATCTGTCTCCCAGGGAGCAACCAAGGAAGAGTGGCATCGGGCCTTGGTCTTGTAGGGCCTTTAAAGGCAAAAACTACATCCCATTGGCACACGGGTTTGTCCAGTTGCACAAAGCAAGCTAGGGAGCTAGGTCACAGAGGCCTAGAATGAGCCGTTAGAGCAATCAAGCATACAACTTTTTATTGTGTATGTTCCCATGTAATAATTCACTGTGTATGGCTCCTGTTTCTATGTGAAGGTCAACGGTTTCTCATGCAGAAGGGGAGGTAGTCTGCAGGTCAGACAGGGCAAAATGGAGTTACTTACATTAAGCAAGCAATTCTACAGAAGCAGATAGCATATGTTATGAGGGTGCAGGAGGCTCTATTTCAACATCAGCCAAGCTGGGGCCGTTGGAGCTCAGGGGAAGAGGAGGAGAGACCTACAGAGTTAATGAAGGCGGGAGAAACTACGATGAGGAAAAGAAAAAGCTGCTCTGAGCATTCTGGGCCGCAGCTGTTTTAAGGCTTGAGCTGCTGAGCGCATGGAGCAGGAGCCGGCAGAAGCTGCAGCTGTGCCCTTCAGATGGAGTTACTTGGAGGCAGCAGGAGAGAAGAGGGCCTTGGTGGCCCGAGGACAGAATAGGGTTCCCATGGACCCATGCAGGAGTGAGGAGCCAGAATAACTGAAAAAAGGGAGCCATTCAGAGACCGGTGAGTCATTGCTAGGGACCAGAGCAGGGCCCATCCTGGGAAGTGTTTGGAGCATGGGCTGTGGGCGAGATGGGAACACCAGGAGAACACTGGGACACAGCAAGGACAGACGACCTGCCCCCAATCAGCACAAAACCACTCAAAGGAGAATGGTCATAAATGCAGAATTGCATGGGGTGCAGTTTGATGAAAAAACTCATGCCCAGATCAGAGATTCTACAGAACACGGAACAACCAAGACTCTGGAGAGCCAGAAGTACCTATAAGATCAACCATTAAACCCTGAGCTGCACAAAAAGCCTTCCCTAGGGAAACAGCAGCAAAGCAGCAATTTAAACAACCACACACTCAAGTACTGGTTCCCACAGAAAGTTCCCCCATGTTAGAAGCAAAGGACAAAAAATTAGTTCCAGCCCAGGCACACCACCAGCACCTTGGGGCCTGCCTGGGAACAGGAGGCTTGGATACAGAGACCAGACACCACTCCCACTTCCAGGCAAACTGTGCCAGCACCTCGGTGCCAGCACGGGGACTGAGGCATGGAAAAGGGGACTGGACCCCCTCCCACAACCAGGCACACCACGCCCGCACCTCGGGGCCTGCCTGGGGACCTGAGGCATGGAGAAGGGGACCAGACCTCTCTCCCACAACCAGGCACACTGTGCCAGTGCCTTGAGGCCCGCCCAGGGACCCAGGGCATGGAGAAGGGGACCGGACCACCCTCCTACAACCGGGCACACCATGCCAGTGCCTCAGGACCCGCCCAGGGACCCCGGGCATGGAGAAGGGGACCGGACACACCTGCCACAACCAGGCACATGGCACCAGTGCCTTGGGGCCTGCCCAGGGACCAGAGGCATGGAGAAGGGACCAGACACACCCCACAACTGGGCATACCGCCAGTGCCAAGGAGCATACCAAAAACAGCACCTCCATGTTGGTGGCACACCACAGCCTCCAGAATAGCCATGGTTGCCTCGAAAGCGACTAGACACCACAACGACCACGCAGATGGTCCGCCAACCACTGGAGTACATTCATACAAGGAGAGTCACCAGCAGAGACAAAGAAAAGAAGAGGAGGTCTCTTTCCACAAAGCCTATTTCAGAGTGACAGAAGCATCTGCTCTATGATAATATTGGGGGACCCGATCACATCTCTCAGCATTGGACAGATCATCTAGGCAACAAATTAACAGAGTAACCATTATTGTTTCAGAAGCAGAGAAGAAATCTAGGGTAATGGGGGTGGGGAGGGGAGAGATTGGACAAGGGGCATAAAGAGTAATTATGATTTGTAACAATATATATGCTAGTAACATTGATTTGATCAACATATCTCAATGTTCAACCCCCCAAATATGTATACTTGATTTTAATTCAATAAATAAAATAAATTTTTTTTTTAAAAAGAAAAATCAACTTACCCAAATTTTAAACTGAATCTTTGGATCCTTCTGTATCTGTTTATTGTTCACCAATCTATGCATTACCCATGACTGATTTTTTCATCAATTGAAAGTCCTGTTATTTCTATTTTCAATATCTATTTCAGATTGTGTTACTTATCATCATCTCTATTGCTACCATCCTAGTCTAACCATCAAATCTCACAGCAACCTCCTACCTAACACCTTGCTTGCTCTCGCCCTTTCAATTCGCTTTCTACACAGCAACTAGAGTAATTTTCTTAAAGGAAATCAGCTTTACTGGCTTCCTTCTGCATTTGCAATCAAATCCAAACTCCTTACTGTGGCTTAAAAAACTGTGCATTACCTGCCATTCCCTGCCTCTCTGATCTTCTTATCTTCTATCACTCCTACTCTCTTGCAACTATGTAGGCACACTAGCCTAACTGCTGTGCCTCAAACATACCCAGTTTGTTTGGTTTCTGGGCATTTGCACTAGCCATTTGCCTGGACGCTTGCTTCCAGGCATTTGTATTGCATTCAGGTGACAGCTCGAATGTCAACTCCCCTGAGATGCTTTCCCTGACCCATTCTTCAAAAACATCTTCCTGCTCCCATCACCATCTCATAATCCTGTTTTATTTTCTTTACAGCACTTATCACTAACTGCAATGCTTTAATGTATGCTACTTGGCTCACCTCAATAGTATGTAAGCTCCATGAAAACAAAAATCATCTTTTCTTTCTTTTTAAACTACTTCAGTCCTGCATCCAGAAAAGTAGATGACACCTTGTAGGGGCTCAATGAATTGTGTCCATCCTCTGGTCTTTCAATTTACCTTCAAATACTAATTAAATTAATGTAACAATACTTTGTCCCATTAAGGTACTGCCCTTTGTGCTCTGAAACTCAGAAATTCTAAGACATATGTAAACTGTGTTCTAAACTCAGTTTATGGTTAGAGTGTGGTGCTGATAACGCCAAGGTCCAGGGTTTGATTCCTGTACCAGCTAAAGGATGGCCGGTTAGCTCAGTTGGTTAGTTGGTTAGTGTGTGGGGCTGACAGACTCAGCTATTACTATTTTCTGATGTCTGGCCAGTAGAATAAACTCAGTTTTGACAAAAGTGAACACTAGGGACATAAAATAGCTATTAATGTCTTTGAGTGTTAAGGACCTAAAAAACTACAAGGATTCTCAAAATAAAATACTTTTGTAAAGGCCTTATTATCTATCACCAACTTATCTTTAGGTCCAAGTTCTATTTTATCCAGTTGAATACCCACAGTTAGAAAGTCCCAAACATCAGGAATTCAGAGGATTGAGGAGCAGTGCAGGCAAGGTATTAATGCCTCTGCATCTTCGATCTTGTATATTTCCCTTCCTATAATTCTCACTTGGCTTCTCTCTTCTTGTCCATAAATCACCTTTGAGGCTCAGCTCACTTCCCAGCATCTTCCAGATGGTTTGACTTGTCCCGATTCATATTTATTTCGGACCTATTTTCTGCACTATTATTGAGTGTTTTGTCCTGACGGCTACTTTGGGATTTAGAATACGTGGCTTCGTGCTAAAAAGTTAACTACGGGATTGCTACTGGGAATACATTTACTTCCAGAGCTGCGCTCTCCCCTTAATACAGAGCCAAGCACACAGGAATGTGTGTGATGAAAAAAAAGGTACGAGACTTGGACAGAAACGTAAGAAAACATGCATCATCTCCTGAATCCAGATCATTCAGAGGGTTTCCCGGAGTTCCACGGCCCTAAAGCCTCGTTTGATCTTGAAAGCGCGGCCGTGCAGATATACTAACCCCACACCGGTACGGAAGCTTGCAAACGCCAGCAAGTAAAAAAAACGGCGGAAGCAGCTTGTTTGGAGTATTCGCAGGCCAGTCACCACCGTTCGCAATCTAGGCCCAATACTTACGCGGGACGCCGGCCAGATCCGCGTGCGAGTAACCTGCTCCGCCGGCTCCGAAAAAGCCAGCCAACCCCCCTGTGGTTTTGTTGCTGCTTCCCCCGCCGCCCTCCATGGTGTCGCAGCAAACTGCTCGTCTGCTTCCCTAAGCTGCCTCAGGACGGAGACGTCGGCCCGGCTGTTGCTCCTCAGTAACAGCGGGTAGACCCGCGTTACCAATGCCTCCTTCACACGCTGACCTTCCGGCGCCGGTTCCCTCTAAGCGCACACTTCCGCTTTGCGGCAGTGTACTCCCGGAAGACGGAAGCGCCTGACGGCAGCTTTCCGGTGGTGGGAAAGTGAACGAGGCCAGAGTCAAAGCGGCGCATTCTGAGGCAGGTGGGGTCCCTGTGGAAGAGGGAAGGCAGGCGACCGCATAGTTCCTGACTCCGGAGGCCGGCGGATCAGCAATTGCAGAAGCAGACAGCAGCAGAGAAGGGATGGTGCGGGGAGGCGCCGAGGAGGCGCAGTCCGCCCCTCTCAGGGTTAGTGAATGAGGCTCTCTGCCCGGGCCGGCCCGGGGACTGTGCGCTGCGGTTCCCAGCATGAGTGCGGGCCCCGGCTGTGAGCCCTGCACCAAGCGACCCCGCTGGGGCGCCGTTGCAACTTCTCCGCCGGCTGCATCGGACTCCCGGAGCTTCCCTGGCAGGCAGACACGCGTCCTCGACCCCAAGAACGCTCCCGTGCAGTTCAGGGTCCCGCGGTCCTCGCCAGACTGCTTCCCGGGGCGGGCGGGACCGCACAGAGGCAGCGCCACCTCTCTTGGTACGTGGGGAAATAAAAATCTTTGTTCTTTACCGCGGCCCGAACTACTTCCTAGTCTCAGTATGAGGACCCAAAGGCTCCAGTCACTCTTTTCTGGTCTTGTGTGCACCACTCTGATATCCTCTTGCTGAGCCACCAAGGCTACTAGTAGTGGTACGGCGCCGCGTTTTTTTCGGTGCGATTGGTGTGAGAAACCCTGATGAGCAGTCGCTCACACTGCAGAAAATGGCAGGAGACTCCACCTGTTTGCATTCCTCAGGTATGATTAGGAAATTGCCTTAGCTGTCAAGGAGGTCTAGTTGTGTATGTGAAGCAGGCGGGGGGCTCTAGATGGAAAAAAAGCTGTTGCAACTTCACCCATTCAGATTCTGGGTTTTGGGATGCAGAGTTGTTAGTCTCAGTTGGCATTTTACTTATCCCTGGCATACAGTGTCGAACAAGAGGAACTTGGTCCCTGCCTTCATACCCTAAAATCTATCAGGAGATATAAACAATAGCAGAAATCAATGTAAAATAAAGAGTAGTGGGCATTCTGATAGCTGAGAGACAGATTGTGCTGGTAGGAGTCAGGTATGACTTAACCTAGTCTATAGGATCAAAGATAGTACTCCAGAACATGAGATCCTTATTCTGAGGGCTAAGAATAAGTAGGAGTTAGCTAGTTGAAGAGGAACTAAGGAATTGTTGCAGGAGTGCAACTGCTGCATGGAGGGAGCAGGAGAAAGTTATGAGAGATGGGTTGCAGAGGTAGAAAAAAGTCAGATCACACTGGGATATGTGGACAGTGCTAAGGATTTTAACTTTTATCCCTAAAGGCAATGAGAAGCCATTAAAGGTTTTCAGTAGGGGAGTGACTTGTTTTTTGAAAGTCTGGTTGGTGTGTGGAAAACGCAGAATGAATTGAAAGGGAGTGCAAGTGGAGGCCCAAGGATAGTTAAGGAGTTCATCTAAGGGGGAGATAATTGTGGCATAGACTTTGGTGTGGGCAGATGGGAAGGGAAGAAATGGATGGATTCTGGAGAAAACGGGATACTTAGGTTTGTACTTCAGAAGAAATGTCTGTGCTGGAGAAATAGATTGGGGAATTTGTGGCATAAACATGATAATAGATGGTATAGGTGTAGATTAGGTCATATATGCATATAAAGAAAGTTAAGGTGACCTAGGATAGAAAACATCGAATGGTAGACTGAAAAGAAGCGGCTAGAGAGGTGGGAGGAAAGCCTGGCCTGTGTTTTGTCATCAGAGAAGAACATCTTAAAAAGGATGCATTGGTCAGCAGTGTATGAGGCTGAACAGAGGTCAGGCAGTCCTCTGATGAACTATGTACACTTAGGTGTCTTAGGACTTAGAGGCAGATGGGAGCAGACTTAAACTAAGTCTTAAAGGATGAGCAGGATTTGCTATATAAATCAAGAGGAGGAAATATGAGCAGAGGTAACAGCACACGTAAAAGGTAGTAGATCTGGAGCATAGGAATGATGAGTATCAGATGGGGCAGGGGAGCAGACTTAAACTAAGTCTTAAAGGATGAGCAGGATTTGCTATATAAATCAAGAGGAGGAAGAGTTATATGAGCAGAGGTAACAGCACACGTAAAAGGTAAGTAGATCTGGAGCACAGGAATGATGAGTATCAGATGGGGCAGGGGAGTTGGGCAAGAGCTTATTATAGACAAACTTGAGTGCCATTTTAAGGAGTTTGAACTTCATTTTGTGGCTAATGGGGGGACCACTAAAAAGCTTTTTTAAGCAGGAGAATACCATTTGGTTAATATTTTAGAAAAGATGGCTTGAGCAGTGGCTTTTGGACTTTTCTGAACACAACTCACAGAAAAAATTTTATCTGTTACACAGAGTAAGAAATATATATATATGACCTGGCAAATATGCCATATTTATAGCTGAAACAAATGTTTTATGAAATAATACTTACCCATACTATGTATGATGTTTTCTTACATTGTCTTTATTATTTCATTGAAAAAACGCTGGTCATTTGTAGTTTTTCGAACACTGGATTAGACAAAGTCAAGACTGTAGACAGGGAGACCAGCTGCATGAAACAAAAGTTCAATAAGTGATGTATTGAAAGGATATAAGGAAGGGATGTATTTAAAATTTAGGATGTGTGTTTCAGAGAGCTTGATATAGGAGAGGGAGAACTGAAGGTGAATTTCAGGTGCTATTTCTGACTTCTGTGACTGGGCTATTTGTGGTCCCTTTAACTTTATTTGCAGGAGGAGGAATTAGTTGCAGGAAGGGGTGGGGGCAGTCAGTCCTCAGTGGTTGGATCATGAGTTTTCTGCAGAAGAACTAAATTAATACTGGGGGCTGTACTTCGTGTGTGTAAATGTTTTCAGTATACCTTGCATAGGACACCAATTAACAGAATGTTCAAAGTCTAAATTTGTATGGAAAAAAAAAGTTTAAATTTTGGGATTCTTTTAGGAACTTGGTATTTAATTTTTTTTTTTTTTTTTTTAAAGATGACCAGTAAGGGGATCTCAACCCTTGACTTGGTATTGTCAGTACCACGCTCTCCCATGTGAGCAACTGGCCATCCCTATCTATATAGGGATCGAACCCATGGCCTTGGTGTTATCAGCACCACACACTCCCAAGTAACCACGGGCTGGCTCTTAAAATTTTCACATATAGTTATTCTAGAAGAAGTAGGTGGGGTAGAGAAATGGATATTTATTCAATATCTTTAAATTTTGTATTTATCTTACTGGGCACATTTCTTGATTGATATCTGCAAATCTGCATATAGGCAGAACTCAGCATACTATTCACATTCTGATGGGGAATGATTTATCCAATTTTGTTGTTACAGGAGACTTTTTGTGGAAGTGGGTGTTCCTTTGAAATACAGGTGAATTTTACTGCATTTTGTGCCTTTTGCTGCTCATTCAATGACCTGCTCATTGAAATACATGGTTGTTGAGTGATGTTACTGACGAAATAAGTGTAAATGGTGTGAAGTCAGAATAAAACTGGAGGACTATTGATCTCAGTGAAAAACGTTTGGGCGAAAGTGTTGGGAGAGAATATATTTGTTGAGTATCTGCTTTCTGAGGCTGGACATTTAATATTTTCTCTTGCTTAATATTTTCTGTCATTTTTATATTCTCATTGATCCACATAATCCTTGGAAGTAGGTGTTATTTAACCCCATTTTCTAGGTGAGGAAATACTCATAGAGGCTCACAGAAGTGCAGTAACTTGGCCAGGGTGCTACTAGTAAGTGACTGGACAAAGGTCTCGTCCAGGATTATTTGACTTTAGATCTTGTGGGTTTTTTTTTTTATCACTTCATATTGCCTCTCCTTTTGTTTGCTGTGATTATTTCTAGTTAAAAGAAATTCCCAGGAAACCTGGGAACCATTATTTTATGCTTTCTTCAGAATTAAGAGATACAAAGTTCTTAAACAGTTCTGTGATGTGTTGGAAAAGAAACTTTTGGAAGCGAGAAGTAGTGGTCTTTGAAAGAGAAGTAGGCAGTCCTTTCTCTGGGGCCCTGAGAAAGACTGAGGAATGTTACATTATCAGAAAATAATGGTTTCACACCTCTTGCTTTTTCTCTTCATCCCTTTCTCAGGCTTCAGGAATCACAATAAAAACCCTGAAGCTAGAGAGAGAATACATTCTCAGTGTGAGAGGTGCAGGAGAGATCCCTCTTCTCCTTCAGCTTCATTGAAATACTCCTAGTTTTTCATGAAATGATGTGTGCAGTCTCTTGGTTCTGAATGCTTATCAGTGTAGTACTGTGCTTCATGTGTATTCTAGGAATCTAGCAATAGCATTCTTACATTTAATCCTTACATTTATGTTTTTTTTTTTTTTGAAGCTCTTACAACGAGAAAATGGAGGGGACACATCTGGGTGGGAGGGGGGAGAGGGAGGAGGGAGGGAGGTTTTGGTGATGGGACACAATAACTAACTACACTGTATATTGACAAAATAAAAATAAAAATAAATAAAAAATCCTTATATTTATGGAAAAAGGTGTTTTAAATTTTAAACTAACTCAAAAAATGAATGTTTTGGCACATTGCTGGTTTGTAGTTTGAGGATTTTCTTAACTTGTATTTGATATAATGAAATCAAATAGAAAAAAAGGAACTGTAGAAAAAGTCTCATAATCAAACAATTCATCCTCTTAACTCCCTTCTGACTAAAGCTGTTTTTTCTCTGAAGCCTGATTTACTGCAGAAATACTAAATAAAATCATTAAAGTAGTGATGTTTAACAACAAGAAATATCAAATATATATGATTATTTTTTGCGATAGAAACTATTTAAAAATACTAGTCAAAGATTTTTACTAGCTGGACTATTAGTATTTTATGGAAGGTATAAATTATGTAGCCCTCGAATACTTTTCTGCTATAAAATCTTCCCAAATCTGAAATGTATTTCAATCTTGCCATTATTTCAGTAATAAATAAATCAACGATTTTCATATTTTTGAGCCTGCATCTGTTTTGCTTGTATTATGGTGTTTGAGGAGACATAGGTAAATAAGAATGAGTCTATGATGTAAACATTGCAGTTTGGAGAATTGTTAAGAATGTTTAAGATTTTATGTTTTCACTTGATCTTAGGCAAAAGACCAAGAAGCTTATGTTTTCTTATAGTGAAATGTATACATGTAATCCATATCTAGTGTATTAGATTTTGGCGGCACACTTATTTCTAATGGTTATATAAAATGTGGTTGTGTTTGTTTATACTGCATGCCGCTCTCCTGAGCTATCAATTCTTCTTTTGGTACTGTGTGTTGGCCATTTCTGTCTAATTATCTCTTTGGCGTCTGAAATTTAGTATGTGCAGAATTGACCTAATCATATTTCCCTCTGAACTCAATGCTCCTATATTCCACATTTCTACTTAATGCTGTCATCATCTTTCAAGTCCCTCAAGCTTACAGCTTAGTGTCACCTTTAACTTCCTTGGTCATTGTGAAGTCTGTAATGATGCCTCAGTTTTAATACTCTCACAAGGACTAATTTTGGTCTTTGGCCAATAGTTCTTCAATCTAGTTAATCATCAAAATTACTTTTTGAAAAAAATACAGGTTCCAGCTCCCCTCATGTCTCCATCATATTCACATACAGATTCTGATTCAGTAGCGCAGGTGTGGCCGTGGGGTCCATTTGTTGCTAGCCTCCTAATGACCCAGGTGGTTTAACCAGTAACTTCCTCACTGGTTTCTGCCAATAGGCTCTTTCTTCTTGCCCTTCAGATTTGTTCTCTAGGTTATCTCATGCATGGTTTTGAGCCTCCTAGATTTGAATTCTGGAATCCTGGCTGAGTGTGGCTTTCAACACTTCTGTACCTCTTTGTGGATCAGTCACAGTCCTCTATGAAATGGTCCTAGCTGACTTTTCAAACATATTTTCTGTTGCTTTCTGAGTTCTGTTTCTCTGCCATTGGTGCTTTTGCTTTCCCCTTTATGTGACTGTATGTTTATTCTTCAAGACACAATTCAAGCACTGCCTCTTCGAGGAAATCTCACCGATTGTCCCCACTTACTGCTGTTCCCTGAAGTAGTCTTTTCCTCAGAAATACCTTAACTCCTTGTTAGGATTTTTTTTTTTTTGTCTTTTTGTCTTTTTGTCTTTTTCGTGTCCGGCAACGGATCGCAACCCTCAGTGTTGCCCCCGTACCAGACCGGGGACCGGCAACGGGATTGCAGCCCTCGGCGTTGCTCCCGCGCCTTGCTCAGCCAGTGAGCGGGAACCGGTCTGTATGTGGGATCCGAACCCTCGGGCGGGAGCACTGCCGCGCTTCCCAAGCGGCGCACTGTCCAATGCGCCACCGGGCCGGCCCAGGATTTTTTTAATAATAAAGATAATTAAGAACTAACATTTTGTGGGCATATACCGGATAGCACCTTAAGCGCTTCACATGGATTGTTATTTAATTTAAATCTCACATTATCCCCATGAGAGATACTGTTAATTTGCCTGTTTGACAGATAAGAAATCTGAGACACAGAAAAGTGACATCTCACAAACTCACATAGGAAGCCAGTGGGAGAGCCAAGATTTTAATCCAGATGTTTTGTTCTCAGATCCTGTGCTCTTATCGTAATTCGTCTGTACCAACACTGTTAGGTGCCAGTCACTTTCTACCCTATGCATATGTATTAATATTTATGTTCTTGTCTTATCTAATATTACTTGAGGGTGGAAGAAGTAATTAATCTTTATTTAAGCCATAGAACCTAGCATAATGCCTTGCACGTATAATATGCTATTTCTGTTTTCTATTTGAAGGAATGTATGTGTATACATTCATTTTTATTTTTATTTTTTTAACAGTTTTCAAACAAAAGACTATTACCAGTTGGATGGACACTGAAGGAATCAAGACAGCTGAATCAGATAGGTATAGAAACATGCCTATGTAGAGAAATGAATAACATAATACATGGATGTTTTATCTTGCTTCATGCTATTTTCTCTCTTCTTGTTTTTTTATTTTTCTTCATCTGCATTCATTCATTCTTTCAATTTATAGATAGTTTTTCAGCATCTATAAAATGCTGGGGACCCTCCTGTATTCTTGAGATACAGCGATGAAGGAGGAATAGTCCCTGTCTTTAAGATAATTATAGTTTAGCTGTGGTGACACACAAAAACACGTAATTACTGCCTTGTGTGATAAATGCAACAGTAAAGGTCTGAACAGGGTGCAGTGGTGGTTAGCATATAGAAAAAACAAATAACTAGCTTCACCTTTGGGCTGTGAGGGAAGACTGCAAACGGAGGTGAGTAAAGTTAAAGATGTGAAGAAAAGGCAGGTGTTTACCAGGCACACAGCTGGGTTATAGGCAAGTGTGCAAGGACATGGAGTCATGAAGGAGCATGCTGTGTGCTCAGGTAAACTCGGGTGTTTAATTATTGTGACATTGTAGGGATGTGGTTAGATAAGTGAATTTTTTGTATCAAGTTGTTTTTTTTTTTTGTTCTCTTGTAGTTTGCATAGTAAAGAAAACAACAATACAAGAATAGAATCCACGATGAGTTCTGTACAAAAAGATAACTTTTACCAACAGAATGTGGAAAAATTAGAAAATGTTTCTCAGCTAAGTCTTGATAAATCACCCATTGAAAAAAGTACACAGTATTTGAGCCAGCGTCAGACTGCAACTATGTGTAAGTGGCAAAATGAAGGGAAACATATGGAGCAGCTTTTGGAAGGTGAGCCTCCGACAGTAACTCTGGTACCAGAGCAGTTCAGTAATGCCAACATTGATCAGTCACCCCAAAATAATGATCACACTGACACAGATAGTGAAGAAAATAGAGATAATCAACAATTTCTGACACCCGTAAAGCTTGCAAATGCAAAGCAGCCTATGGAAGGTGAACAGGCCAGAGAAGCTAGAAGTCACCAGAAATGCAGCAAGTCTTGTCACCCTGTGGAAGACTGTGCAGGTTGTCAGCAGGAAGAGATAGGTGTGGTACAAGAGAGTCCATTGTCAGACATTGGCTCTGAGGATATTGGTACTGGACCAAAAAATGACAACAAATTGAGTAGACAAGAAAGTAGCCTAGGAACTTCTCCTCCATTTGAGAAGGAAAGTGAACCTGAGTCACCAATGGATGTAGACAATTCCAAAAATAGTTGTCAAGACTCAGAAGCAGATGAAGAGACAAGTCCAGGTTTTGATGAACAAGAAGATGGCAGTTCCTCCCAAACAGCAAATAAACCTTCAAGGTTACAAGCAAGAGAAGCTGACACTGAATTTAGGAAACGGTACTCTACTAAGGGAGGTGAAATTAGGTTACATTTCCAGTTTGAAGGAGGAGAAAGTCGTACTGGAATGAATGATTTAAATGCCAAACTGCCTGGAAATACTTGTAGCCTGAATGTAGAATGCCGAAATTCCAAGCAACATGGAAAAAAGGATTCTAAAATCACAGATCATTTCATGAGAATACCTAAAGCAGAGGACAAAAGGTAATTTTTTCCATCAGAAGTATCTTTCCAATAGCATAGTACATTTTCTAATTTTATAAGAGGGTTTAACAAAGTTATTTATGATTTATAGTAAAGCAAAGAAATTGTTCTTTCTTGTTTACTATTTATGTTAAATTTAGATCTAGATTTCGAAATTTAAATTCTAAAAAGACCAGAAACAGAAAACAAGAAGTAAAATAAATACTGGAAATCAAATTTTTAGTTTCATGAACTTCCTTCTGGAATTTATGGGAATTACTAGAACATGAAAATATTAGATTGATTGTAGCTACTTTTGAAATTTTTCTAGGCCATTGTATATTACAGTTTATCTAGTGCTCTGATGGACAGGCGAGTGGTATTGTACTTGCTTTATAAATGAGAAAACTGGGATTTGGCTTAGTGAATTTGATGAGTTCATGTAACTTGTAATACCGAGATTTAAATCCATGTGTGTCTGATTATAAAGCTTATGTTTTTACCATTATCCAGTACGGAGTCTTAAAGCCCACTCAGTAATTTCTGTGATCTCAGTTTTCTAGCATGTGATAGTAAGTTCATTCCATTGAAAATCACTGTGTAGAGACCTGAGAAGTAGCTGATTTTCGGGACCATGACTCATTTGGTGGTGTCCGAATGTTCTTATGTGGCCTCTGTTTTCAGAAGGTGATTTATATATGTTTGGAAATTCCTTCCACAGACTATTGGAAATAAGTTATTGAGTTTTAATATAAGCTTTATAAGTTTTTCTTTTGATTGTAAACATAAACCGACATGAGAGAATAAGCTTAGTACACTTTAAAAAATAATATTCTGGGTAAATTTTGCCCATGTGTAGCCAAGGGAATTAAAGCAATACATAATTTGTGACTGAATACCTTTGTCTTGACCTTAGAAAAGAACAATGTGAAATCAGACATCAAAGAATAGAAAGGAAGATCCCTAAATACGTTCCACCTCACCTTTCTCCAGATAAGAAGTGGCTTGGAACTCCTATTGAGGAGATGAGAAGAATGCCTTGGTGTGGGATCCGGCTACCTCTCTTGCGACCATCTGCCAATCACACAGTAACTATTCGGGTGGGTATCACCTCTCACCTATTCAGAGAGAAGATTGGAAGTCCTGATTTATTGTGGTATTTGTTAATGTGAAAAACAGATCAAGACATAGAAAGTTCTTTTCTGCATATATAAGATACTGAGAAGTCTACAGACCGGAGAAATATGAAGATAGCTTGCTTAATACAGTGCTTGAATCAGCAAGATGAATCATCAGCTGATGATAAAATTGAATTTTTCCATAGTTTTAAGAAGCCTCATTTTAAAAAAAAATTCAGTCGACAGTATTTATTGAGCACCCACTACCTATTAAGTACTGGGTTAGTCCCTAAAATTCAAAGTTGTGCATGGTTTTATTACCCTTAAATCATTCTCCAGTTTTGCCCTCTTTTCTGAGCTTTAGATTCTTCTAGAACATTTTCATCACTGCCTCACAGTTGTCCCAAATTCAACATGTCTGAAACCAACCTCATTTTTTTAATTGTGATAAAATATATATAACAAAATTTACCATTTTAACCATTTTTAAATGTGCAATTTAGTGTTAAGTATATTCATGGTGTTGTGTAAACATCACCGCTATTAATTTTCAGAACCTTTTCATCTTTTCAGGCAGAAACTGTGTACCTGTTAAATAATAACACCTCATTCCAGGCTTCCTCTAACTCCCATAACCTCTTTTATACTTTCTATGGGTTCTTTAAAAAAAGAAAACTTTATTGAATTACATAAAATTCATGCATTTTAAGTGCCCAATTCTGTGATATTTAGTCAATTTACTGAGCTATGTAACCATCACCGTAATCCAGTTTTAGAAGATTTCCATCACTTATTGGGTAGTTTTAAATATTCGTTGCCTTTATTAGTAAGTTTGTATAGATTTCACAGAGACTACTTAGAAAAATTAAGACATGATCCCTTTTATTATACTATTTAGTCTAGATGTGATTAAATATTTTGAAATTCAGGATTCTTTAGCATGTTTAAAGGTGGGGGTAATGCTGAACAGGAATGTGGGGTTTGAGCTGAGGTCTGAAAGATGAGCAGAAATTTCTGAGGAGGAGTTAGCAAGAGAATTCCAGGCAGATGTATAAGCTTTCTAAGAAAAGGCTGTGCAGGGCCGGCCTGGTGGCGCACTGCTACAGTGCGCCGCTTGGGAAGCGCGGCGGCGCTCCCACCGAGGGTTCGGATCCCACGTACAGACCGGCCGCTCACTGGCTGAGCAAGGTGCGGGAGCAACACCAAGGGTTGCGATCCCGTTGCCGGTCCCGGTCCGGGCGCAACACTGAGGGTTGCGATCCGTTGCCGGTCACGAAAAAAGACAAAAAGGAAAAAAAAAAAAAAGAAAAGGCTGTGCAGTTGAAAACTATTTGGGTAGGGAATGGTGGACTTGAACAGTGGATTTGGGTCCATGTCACAGAGGGCTTCAGGTGCCAGGAATGGGACTTGAGTCATATTTGTAAAGTCAATGGTAGTGCTATAGCAAGATTAATCAATGATGGACTTGAACAGTGGATTTGGGTCCATGTCACAGAGGGCTTAATGATGGACTTGAACAGTGGATTTGGGTCCATGTCACAGAGGGCTTAATGATGGACTTGAACAGTGGATTTGGGTCCATGTCACAGAGGGCTTAATGATGGACTTGAACAGTGGATTTGGGTCCATGTCACAGAGGGCTTAATGATGGACTTGAACAGTGGATTTGGGTCCATGTCACAGAGGGCTTAATGATGGACTTGAACAGTGGATTTGGGTCCATGTCACAGAGGGCTTAATGATGGACTTGAACAGTGGATTTGGGTCCATGTCACAGAGGGCTTAATGATGGACTTGAACAGTGGATTTGGGTCCATGTCACAGAGGGCTTAATGATGGACTTGAACAGTGGATTTGGGTCCATGTCACAGAGGGCTTAATGATGGACTTGAACAGTGGATTTGGGTCCATGTCACAGAGGGCTTGTCTTTTTTCGTGACCGGCAACGGATCGCAACCCTCGGTGTTGCCCCCACTCCTCGCTCAGCCAGTGAGCCGCCGGTCTGCCCATGGGATCCGAACCCTCGGTGGGAGCGCCGCCGCGCTTCCCAAGCGGCGCACTGTAGCAGTGCGCCACTGGGCCGGCCCTATTACTGTTTATTTCTTAGATCACCAATGAATTTTTTAAATCTTCAAAAAATATTTTTTATTACAAATAGTAATTCAGGGTCATTGTAAAAAAATGGTTGGTGTATTACATGAACATATGTAACTCAGAGAACACAGGTCTGTCTTAGTCCTATTCCCAGAGTTAACAGTTTGTTGTATTTTCTTCTAGATTCTTTTTCCTGAATATGGTAATATGATATATGTAATTAACCATTAATTTAAGAGTTTTTAATTATATTTCTAAGATGCCAGATATTAATAGTTACAGAATTTGAAGTAATAAAATGGAGCCAATATTTAGCTTCAGAAATGTGAGGCAATCTGAAATTGCATGGACATGACACTCAGTGCTTATCTATAAACATATAACTCGTGCGCTTGCGCCCAGTCACTCACACATAGGATATTCTTACATGTGTATTTCCCTTCCTTTGAAGCTCGACCTGTACCTATTCCATTTTCTCCAATGACGTGGGACATCTTTACAAAATTACCATTGGAACCTTCTTATGAGGGTGAAAATACTTATAGCCTAATTAATGACTCAGTCACATTTGACTCTAGACCTTTCTTTCCTTCTTGGAATATTCTTATTCCATGACACCATCTAATGCTAGTTTCTTCCTACCTCTTTAGCCAGTTCTCATGTTCCTTTTAGGTACTTCTTCTATATGTGACCAGTAAGTGTTGCTGGAGTTCCTGAAAGCTTTTTTATAGGTCCTCTCTCTCTCAGTGGTCTCATCCACCCTTGTGGTTTGAGTGGTCACCTATATAGATGGCTTACAAACTTATTTCTCTTAAGTTGCAGATGTTTTTATAAAGCTGCCTATTTGACAGTCTTTCTTTCCATAAGTTATTCCCTTTTTGAGGAACAATTTTCTTTCTCCCCTTTTCCTAGTTAACTTCTTTTTATCCTTTAGAACTCAGCTCAGTTGACACTTCCTCAAAGAAGCCTTCCCTAAACTCATCAGATAAATTAAATCTGTCTAGAATAGTTTCATATTACAATTGAAATTTTATGTTTATTTATGTGATTATTTGATTCTCTGCCGTGAAGTGCTGATATATGTTGCCACATGGATGAATCTTGAATGTATTATGCTGAGTGAAAGAGGCCAGATACAAAAGGCTGCATATTGTATGATTCCTTTTATATGAAATGTCCAGAATAGGCAAAACATAAAACTTTTATGGTTTTAAAACATCTCCTTCTATGGCCCAGCAACCAAAAAAAAAACAACACCCCAAAACATCTCCTTTTTTAAACATTTATTTAATGCTTATTATAGTAGCATATGTGTGTATATACATATATGCATATGTGCATATTTGCATATATATCCATGCACATATACATGTAAATACACACTTGCCATCTTCTGTCTTAAGTATTTAGAATACAATTTTAATATGGATCTTATTCTCAAGATATTTATGGTCTAGTGAAGGAAGAAAAAAAAAGTGTACTCTAGTATGGTAATCTGATAAAACAAGAGGAAATCAACAGCCTATTTAATGCTTCTAAAAACTTCATAGAGGTAATGAAAATTGAGCTGACTGTAAAGGTGAGAATAGAGGTTTAACCAGATAAAATAGGAAGGTGGTAACTGATAGTACTCATATTAGAGAAGAGACAGTCATATGTACACAGGCATATAGGTATGAAAGTGATTTTGCTATGTTTGAGGAGTTACAAGTCTGCTGGCTTGTCCGGAGTGAATAGTGTTTGGGTTAAGAGAGTATATGAAAGAAAGAATGTCATTTGGAATCAGTAGATGCATTACAAGGTTCGAAGCTGGGGAATACTTTAGAAAGATAATGTTATTCCAAAGTGGGGATAAGGATTTTATGGGGCATGAATGTGTCTGGGAGCAGTTGGAATTAGGGAGAAGTATAGGAGGCTTTTGGCAGAAATTCGGGCAAGGAATGATGAGGGTCTGGGGCCTAGATGGGATGGAGTTAGAATGCACAGGCCATGGTGACTTGGAAGCTGATTGAATGGAGGTGAGGAATGGTAACAGCTGAAGAGGACTTCTGAGATTTCTGGCTTGGGAGATGATCTCTATTTTATGGCAGCGTCTTTGGCTACATTTTATAGAAGATACACTTAGTTTTTATGTACTAAAATTTTCTTATTTACCCTTTATTTCAGGTAGATCTTTTGCGAGCAGGAGAAGTACCTAAACCTTTTCCAACACATTATAAAGATTTGTGGGATAACAAGCATGTTAAAATGCCTTGTTCAGAACAAAACTTGTATCCTGTGGAAGATGAGGTAAGAACAAAACTGGGGTTCTTTTAGTCTCTGAAAGACAGTTTAGTAGTTACTTATTTGAGTTCTGATTCTATGATGCAAAAGAACTTGAATAGTTTTCTTATATCTTTTTCTTTTTCCTTAAAGAATGGTGAACGAACGGCAGGCAGTCGTTGGGAGCTCATTCAGACTGCACTTCTCAACAAATTCACACGACCTCAAAACCTGAAGGTATGTTCTTTTTGCCATTGTCTTTCATATGTAGGTCTTGGAGATGGGCCCTGGGTGTCCTTCTTCAAAGACATTTTTTGATCTGAATAGACTCCAGTAACATTTTTTATATGTAAAATGGTTGCTTCTTGGCACTAAGGAACTCCTTAGAGACATTCTTCATTTCCATTCCATCACTAGGAAATGAGTAGAAGAATTGAGAGTTGTAAATGACTTGCCTGGAGCCACACAGAGTAATTTGGAGAACCAGGAGTAAGATTTCTCTGTTTCTTGACTCTCCATCTAATTTCCTTCAGTCCAAGCTTCTTTTATTTTTTGTTTTAAAATTATCATGTTTCTAAAATGTCTTTTAAAGTAAATCAGGAAAGAATTATGACTTCACCAATATTTGCCCAAAGGGAAGCTGTTTCCTAATGATGAAAGTATACATTAAGCATTCTAATTTTTTATTCCTCTTAATATTGCTTCTAGCATTTTAATAATTTATTTATTAATTTTATATCTTGGTAATAATTTATTTTTTGATTTTTTTAAATTTCATTTAAGATTGTAAGAGCAACCATTAGATTGTTTTTCTAAAATATGGGTTAATATACAGTATATATATATATATATATATATATATATATTTATTAGATTGTTTTTCTAAAATATGGGTTAATATACAGTATATATATATATATATATATATATTTGGGGGGGGGAATGTTACCGAACTCAGATCAGGCTGCCCGCCTCCTTGAGAAGGAAAAAACCCTCAAAAGTCAAATGGTTGGTGTTGGAAAAGCAGTTGTGTTCAGCTGAAGGAGATGGTAGGCTATTCCATCTCAAAGATGTAGATTTACTGAGGGGTTTTTTCCTTTTTGTCTTTTTTTTTTTTTTTTTTTTTTTTTTTTTTTTTTCGTGTCCGGCAACGGATCCCAACCCCCC